GCGGCCGACGGACTCGGCTCAAAAAAAAAAAATCAAGAAAGAAAGATAATTAGAGAGTCCGTTGTGGGGGTGCTGGCGTGTCAGACGTGGCCGGCTGTGCGTGCGTGTGCGTGTGCTGTGCAGCCGTGAGGCCCTGGCAGCGTAGGAAAGCCCAGCCTCCTCCGCCGCGAGGTCCCCAGGCCCGAACCTGCCTCCGTCCTCAGGAAATTTTGTTTTTTGCCCAGGCTAGAGCCCCTCGGGCTCAGCCTCGCTCCAGCGCCACCAACTCCCTGGCCTTAGCCAATGCCTCCGCCTCGCCCTCCCTCCCGGAGAGGCTGGGACGACAGGCGTCAAATCTGCGTCCTTTCCCCAGCGACCCCGAGTGCTGGCTTTCCCACGCCTTAACCGAGCTTTTCAAGAACTGCAGGGAGGGGCTCTTTTAACCAATAGTGGAGGCCCACGCCTGTCATCCCGGCATTCTGGGAGGCCGAGGAGGGAGGATCGCTCGAGGTCAGGAGTTTGAAACCAGCATAAGCGAGAGCGAGACCCCGTCTCTACTAAAAAAAATAGAAAGAAATGAGCTGGACAACTAAGAATATATAGAAAAAAATGAGCCGGGCGTGGTGGCGCATGCCTGTCGTCCCAGCTACTCGGGAGGGAGGCCGAGGCAGGAGGCTCGCTGGAGGCCAGGAGTCAGAGGCTGCTGTGAGCGAGGCTGACGCCATGGTACTGCAGCCTGGGGAACAGAGACCCCCGTCTCTACTAAAAAAAAATAGAAATGAGCTGGACAACTAAGAATATATAGAAAAAATGAGCTGGGCGCAGTGGCTCAGGCCTGTCATCCCGGCACTCCGGAAGGCCGAGGCGTGAGGACCGATCTAGGCCAGGAGTTGGAGGCCAGCCTGAGCAAGAGCGAGACCCCGTCTCTGCTATAAATAGCAAGAAATCAGCCGGACAAGTGAAAATATAGAGAAAAAAAACTAGCCGGGCGTGGTGGCGCATGCCTGTCGTCCCAGCTACTCGGGAGGGAGGCTGAGGCCGGAGGATGGCAGGAGGTCAGGAGTTGGAGGCCAGCCTGGGCGAGAGCGAGACCCCGTCTCTGCTAAAAATACAGAAAGAAATGAGCTGGACAACTAATAAAACATAGGAAAAAAATGAGCCGGGCCTGGAGGCGCATGCCTGTAGCCCCAGCTACTCGGGAGGGAGGCTGAGGCA